TACCATTGCATTACTGATGTTACAAAATACCTTAAAAAAATAGCCTTTCTAATGGAATATTTGGGGAATATTTTAAGGGAGAGACTTGATTAGCTTGAAGTCTAATTAGGAACTCGCCCAAATCTATTTTAAACAGGGAGAAAAGGTAGACTCTGGAGATATCATGGTAAAGGGCTGGAGAGTGAATGTCCCTGCGTTTTCCTTAATTGCGGCTGGATGTGTCCGGCAGCAGCTGGGCTAATGACACAGATAGTCCAACTTCCCAGATCCTGATCCGCCGGGATGGCTCCCGGGGCTGGGCTAATGGGATACAGCAGCTTCCCCGGAGGCCACTAGCCCGGCGCTGGGCAGTCCGGTCGTGCTGCCAGGTGGCCACGTTGGTAACGCGCTGAGCTCCGGAGTGCCACGTCGAGCACAAGCCCTGCTTTATCCTGCAAAGTGCCAAAAAGTGCCGAGGATCCTGGGGGGATTTTTTTTTTTTTTTTTTTTTGAGCAGTCGCATTTCAGAGTTTTTTAGATATGGTCCTTGAGACAAATTGAAAAATTCTCAGTAATCAATCCCAGTGTGAGGCTGCTAATGAAGCCAAATCAGCCCTCCAACCCTGTTGCTCTTTGGTTGCCCTTCGCTGTGCAGGAATTCAGCTCAAATACTGGGATAGAGCGTTGCTGTTAAATATCAATTACAGCTGGTCTGGAGCACAAAAGTCAGTTTAAATGTCATTTAATAAACAAAACTGGAGCAGAATGCCTTTCCGGGGACATGGGAGGAGTTAAATTGAGGGTTTAGTATCGTGTGGATTGCGGGGGTGACGTTGCTGGTGGGTCTAGGCCCACGCCGAGGGGAGCCAGCCCCCTTCCCGAGCGTCCACAACATCCATTGAGCCGTGGCCCTGTTGGGCAGGAACAGGGAATTCGGAGGCTGGGGAATGACTCAGAGCAAGGTCTGAGGCTGGAGGGGTGCCCGAGGGAGGGATCCGGGATGGGGTGAGGGCAGCAGCCAGACCCCTCCTAGCTGAGCAGTCTGGGCTGCTCTCTGCATTTGGGTGGGTCTTCCCAGACAATCTCTTTTCTCTTTTGTAATGACATCAGTTATCTCCCTTCTGCCCCTAAAAATAAGCAAAATAAAAGTCTTAAGAGTTTACCAGTATTTAATTTTTTTTTCTATTTGGATGTGGGTTTTATTTAAAAGCTGTCTAAGTCATGCCTGTGACTGCTACCTGCATGGCATGGATGCATTTGACACACGAATGCGTCTGCGTGCTTGTGGGATTTATCTTTCGAAGCTTGGCTGAACCGAGTCTAACAACACTCACCAGATCTTCCTCCTCCTTCCTGAGGAAAGGGGAATTTCTGTCTTCAGCTTTGCTGCGTTTAGCACAGCGTGCTGTGTTCCGCTTGTGAAGCAGCCCCTGGATAAACACAGAAAAGCAGGTATTTCTAAGCACATAAGCTCACACTTAACAGCATTGCAGATTGTTATAAACATAGTTCATTTTAGCCCATACTGTAAGAAGAAAAAAAAAATTCAATTACCTTAGTGTACTTGAACTGCAGGGCTAACAAACCAAAATGCTAACCCTGTTCAGGCCAGATAAGGTGGAGAATTAAATGCAACTCAACCAGCATGATCAAAACAAATGGGAACTCCTGCTCTTGCGTATCCTTAAAGCTTTTTTGGAAGTTTATTTAATCATCTTTAGAAAATGACTCAGAAACAATAGTGCAGTTGATAAGATAGTGCCTGACCAAAGGGCGAGTCGCGCAGGGAGGTTTATTAGGCGAGCGGCTCCGGAACGGGTACGGTTTCTGCTCCACCACAAATGATTATTTGTCTTGATAGCAGAGCAGTTGACTTAATTAAAACACTGTCCACATACCTGGCTTACTGTGATGGGGAATAGTGTTACACGAGACAACAGCATCCTTGTTCAACATGCGGGAGGAGATGCTGAACTCATTTTCATTCAGGTTTTTCTTCCCCCCTCTGCTCCTGTACTGCATGTTGGTTGTGCAGCTCAGAGGGGGGCAAAACCCCTCCAGAACACGGTGCTTGTTGCACGGCCG